TTTTGTAGAGGTCCTGCCTTTGAACACGTGCAGGATCACTACATGCAAGCCCAAACTTTGTGGTTTGTAGTCGGCAGTGGTTGGCAGCACATTGCCAAAGTCACGATCATTGTTAACATCATGTGTTTGACCATGTTGATTTTCATTGTTTGGGAAGGTCGGCGAGCTCTGCTTTTTGGGTTTAACATGTTGTGCAGGCAGGAAGGCTGTTACCGGGTGTTTTTGTTGGGCAAGATTTTGCCCTGTCACAAAACTGCGAAAGCTCAGAGATCAAGAAGATTATGATTGCTGAAGTATCTAGGACATGCAACTTTGTGGAGAATTCGCGAAAGCGTAAGATGCTTGGCTTTCTATTGAGAGACGTTCGATTCTCTCGCTGACGTAGTTCCACTGAGATGGAGCCCCGTTCAGAAGTGCAATCTCTCGTAAGCTCAGTTTGTAGTTTCTTTGCATGGCATGCCGCGGTGAATGCATTGTTGCAAAAGCCTTGGAATATGAGGAGCAGAACCATATGTTGGCCTTTGCAGCATGAAGGAACTCAAACGCGACGAAGCTTCGCTTGAAAACGTTTGTCCTGGCCTACTAGATTTTGGCCATGTCGCTGGCTGTACCCAGTCAAGGTTGCATTGTATCCCATTGAGAGAGGTGACCCTTGCGAAGCTAGACTCTGCGCCACATCCTGCTGACCCCACCCCAGGGTATTTTACAATCAAGGTCAAGGAACGCATGTGCTGCCACCTTGTTGCGTCCCTGGCTATCTCCCGCACTGGGGGCAAAGCATGGCAAGACATGATTTCACTTCTGATCACAGATCGCGCTCAAAGCAAATCCCGGCTTCACTTGCGACACCGAAAGGCTCAATGCTTCTTTACGGCCTTCCTTCGTGGGAGGAGTGTACGGAGATGCTGTAGGTGGGCACTTGGCTACCTAGCTGCGAGTAGTGATGGGTTTTAACCAGCAACATTGGATTGAATCCGTGCCAGGAGGAAGGAACGCGGAGTCGACAGGGCTTTGTCTGAAGCTGTTTATCCTGGCTTAGTGGATTTCGGCAATCTTGTCACCCTTGCAGCCTCAAGGATTCCTTTCAACCAATCGAACTGATGACTCTGTGCTGCGTTCATCTCCATCCTGCCTACTCAGCCCCGCAGAATTCCAGAAGCAACCCATGTGTTGCAGTGAAGAGCCAGTCAGCTCAGATTAGCAATGTACTCCAACCCTAAAGACTCTATCTTTGCTGCGATGATAGTCATCGCTGGTCTCCGAAAGGAGCACCCAGAAAGCTGATTAAACAACAGAATTCAGAATAGGCTAAAACGATGTTTATCCAGAGGAATCAGTTGTAATTTCTGCAGGCTTGCTTGTACTTGTCTTGAAACGCTTAGTCCTGCTCACCTTGCAAGATTTCGGGCTTCGACTCCAGTGCTTTGTCCGGGACTGGCTGAATCCCATCAACGTTCCGGGAAGCGACTCAAGCTCGTTAGCACGTGAGCCGCGTTTGGGCTTTGACACTCGAAGGCCTGTGCATTTGGACTGGACGAAGGAATCGATGCCGTTTCAGTGTTTTTGGACGTTTCCAACGGTGACTGAGAATTAGAGCATTGACATATTTCTTCGCCATCTCACCGAGAATTAGGTGGAGAAGCAAAAGGGACTGTTCTCGGCAGTGCCACACATTTCAAGACGGGCTATCCACAAGTGCATGCTCTCCCAACGGTTGAGCACGTTCCACGTCGCGTTGCTTCAGCCCGACGGTCGGTCTGCTTTTCACCCACCGCATCCCACAGCAAAGACCCTTTGGAAGAAGGTCAATAGACCAAAACTAACCAAAACCTATGGGTTGGAGACCTCCCCAAGGTTGGAGACCTTCCTAAAGTACGCACTGACACCCAGATGTACGTCTTCCTGATTCGCAGCTTGCAAGGCCTTGCACATGTCATGCTGTCTCGCCACTGGGGCAGTGCATCGGGTGTTTCCTTTCAAAGTGCCCTACTGATGTGCGGTCGTGTAACTAGCAACATTCAATTTGGGCCAGGGCAGCATGAAAGAGACTCCATGTTGAGAAGGCGCCGCTTGAACACTTTTGTCCTGGCTCAGTAGACTTTTGCAAGCTCAGGCGGTGTACAAAGCTAAGTAAACCGAATCCTGGCCAATCGAGCAACTGACTCTTGCGAAGCTTATCGTGGGCCTGGGGTTACAGTTGTCGGATCACACATTTCAAGCAATTCCGGCTTCACTTACGGCATCAAGAGGCATAATGCTTCTTTGCGGCCTTCCTTCATGCAAGAAGTATACGCAGATGCTCTTGGGTGTGCACTTGGTTTCAAGGAGTTATTGTCTTTTTCAGCATGGGTGCCGTTCTGGCAGAGTGAGGTTGCGACGGTTGCGAAGCGACTGCCATGGCTTTAGGCCGGGGGAGGGTTTGACACCAAAAGGCGCAAAGCTTCTTTACGGCCTTCCTTCGTGGGAGGAGTGTACGGAGATGCTGT